CCATCAACAGATCGCACACTTACAGAGAAGCCTGCATCAGAATCCTTACTGTAATTTTTGACTCTCTCTTGAATCGCATGAACTTGAGCCTTGTATGGTGATATGACCCCAACACTGACCTTCTTCCTTTTGCCAATGAAATCTGTTTCCCAGAAAGAAAATTTCAGAAAACTTGGTTTGTGTTTGTAAATGTATCTAAACCTCCTAATATATTCTTAAAATAATTAGTGCATCGACGATCTTAGATAGCAATAGAATAGAACTACCTTTGTAAAGGCTTGCAACTATCTCAGAGACCGCAGCAACCTCCACCATATTTTTTCTACTATGACCATGATCAAATTCATCTTTTCCATTGGCTACATTTATAAAGGAGTAGGATTGGTACATTTTTCCCTCAAGGAAGCACCTCTCATAGCTTCTTTCATTGACATTTGGACCATCTAATATCTGATTGTCGTAAAACTCCCTATTTGGAAATAAGCTGATGGATGGATGCATCCTATATTGGATATTTAGAAGATGCTTCGCGTGTCCCAACCCTGCCAGCCTTTCGAACAAACTTCTTCCAAATTCAGCCTTTGCGGAAACCTAATAATATGATCCAATTCATTAAAACGTTACAACAATATAAACAGTTCTGGTAGTTTGAGAAAAAGTAAAGAACGCAGAGGATAAAACTAAAACCTTGCTTTTAACCATAGCAGGGAGTTGCCTCTCATCTCCTATGAGAATAGCATGGCGGATACCAGGCTGTTGTAAGGGAATTGATGATTCACATTCTTTAAGCTGGGCAGCTTCATCAATGACTAACAATTCGAGTGGTTTCACTGCTGCTGCGTCGTCCAATTTGGCAGAAGTTGATGCAGTACAAAATATTAAGCAAGCATTTTGCAGGCAGAATTGTTTTATTAAAAATTTATTAATGGAATTGGAATTCAGACCAGAAAATTCCCGAGGAAGCAACTTCAGTTTACAAACACACTTTTTTCCCAACTGTGTAAACCAACCACTAAAGCTTCCTGGACCTTTGAAATCGTTTAGGAGTAACTTTGAACCTTTGTTAGGGACGCCAATGCTATGCAATGAAGATTTAAGAGACTTAAGTAAACTCAAAGCTGCAACCATATCCTTCACCACCTCAAGTGAAATGCAAGAAGTTGGTAAGTGAGTGTAAAAGTTTACCATACAAAACTTCATATCATCACCGACTGAATCAAATTTTTTCCTCACGAACTCCTCAAATGTCAAAGGATTATCCTCGCTTACACTTTCTGCATTTCCATTAGCATCCTTCTCATTTTCTTGAGCATTCTCTTTATGCTTTTCCACTTCCTTTTCCAAGTATAAAGAGTACTGTTTATCTGGATCCTCGAGTAGACATATCATTGATTCTAACAAATGCTTCCATCCGGATAAAGGGACCAAACACTTGTACAGAGTTTTAACACGATGATCAAGAAATACATCAAGAAGGTTAGCATTACCATCGACCTTCATTCGCTTCTTGTTCCCAAAGAGAATTATATCTCCAAGTCCGTACTTACCATACTCAAGTGAATGATTAACCAATCTCCGGAGCCGTGCTGCCACTTCTAAAACCGCAATATTGGTGGGAGCACATGTTAGTGTTCTGCACTTCAACTTAAACAGAGCAAAGAGTGATAGACTGACGGTCTTTGTTTTCCCAGTACCAGGAGGACCCCATATTAATTTGACAGCATTCTGGTGTTGGCATTTGCTCAAACTAATAAAGTTTAAAATTGCAGCTTCTTGGGACTCATTTAGACTATGAGAGCTAATTGTGGGCCATATAGTAGAAAGGTCAGGAGAGCATTTTTCTTTGGGAAAACAAACTGTGCAAGAACTCCCATCCTGTAAGAAACAAACATAATAAAGTTTACTAAGAACTGTGAAATGTACAAACAAATGGACTGCTAAGGAGAAGAATATGAGTCCAGATACATACATCTGAATTGGGTTGCAGAACTTTCTCAATGACATTTGTGTTTCCCCCTTCTGAGTCCAAGGCAGTCCATACACGAATGTTTGTTGTCATGTTCATCAGATAGACAGCAAAAAGTGTTTCTCTCTTGCTCTGTTGTGTGTCTTGCTCTCCGAAACCTATAGGCTTCGACGAGCGTATTTTGAATTCAAAATCATCAGGAAACTCTTCAAGATCAGTCACTCTATGAACATAAGCAATAAGATAGAACCTTTGGGGCCTATTCAGATCATCAATGCATTTTGGTTTGACATTAGTCAAGGCAATGAGATCTCCAACCTGTGGCTCATACATTGGCCCTTTGTGATTCTTATCAACTTCTGCATCTTTCTTATATGTTATATCATAAAACAAAGCTTTGGGAGGTTTATGATCTCTAGAATATTCAACTGTCAGTATCTCACAAGTAGGTGCGTGCGACAGAGTCATCATGTTTGAGAGTAAATCAGCATGAGTTTCCTCAATGAGTGAAGGAATGAATGATTTCTTGTAGCTCGTCACAGTCGCGAATGTCTTGGGAATCTTGGGAACCTAATGCATGCCATGCCAGCATCATCAAATATATAACTTGTGCTGAAAAACCAATAGTATGTATAAGGAGGAAAAGAGACAAACCTGGTTTTTGTAAAGATGGTTGTTGAGAACATCCCTGAGAGACCAAGAGAATACCAGATCGATCAAGCTACTTCTATCTGTAACTACTTTCTTGTTGGTGGTCGTTCTAGTCTTCTCCATTGCTTCCTTACTCTTGCTCAATTTCTTCAGTGTAGTAGTATATCATAAATTTCATTTCATGCTTAATTCAATTACTTGGCACTGAAGGAAGCATCTGCGCTATTTCATTCCCTTTTGCTTTGCAAAAAAGAGAGCGTTATAGTTAAGAAAGCAAGTCTCTGTCTATTCAAATTCCTTTGTTTTCAGAAAATAAATAAATAAACTCAGTGTTAATTGAGAGGACATGACAGGAAGATGAAAAGACCTAAAGTGAATTACTTTTGCGACCTCTCAAATTAGTAATTTTTTTTTTTTTTTTTTTTTTAACCTTTTACTTCACAGTTGCATATTAAGGAGGGAAAAAAAAAAAGAGAGACAGCTTAGGGAAGAGCAACAGACACTCTGCCTCTCTATTTCAAGTGTTCTCTTTTTTATGTTTGCTGGACTTTTTAGCATTTTCAATTAGAAAAATCAATAAGAAGTCGAAAATTTTGTGAATTTAGAAAGTTTTGAGACTTTCTTAGAACTTTCGCGCCAATTAGAAGCTTGATTTCCACTACAACTTAAGGAAGGTATGAGATTTTTTATATGCATTTTTTTGTTGGAAAATATATTTATTGAGAAATATCATAAGAGTTACATGTACAATGAATAATCAAAGAATATTCAATCCACAACCCAAACGTAACAGTAAGAAACAAGATTAGAATCTTTGTTAAAAACAAAACTACAGAAACATATGCAATAGTAGCAAGCAACCTGCTTCTCAGCAACATCGACGTGGATCTGAGAAAAAAAAACAAAATAAATATAAGTACAGAAAAAAGAGGAAGAACAGAGGGCAATTGGGCTAAAGCCAATATCAAAGCGCATTATACAATTAATCAAATTAAACAAGACTAATAATCTCACTCCTTTTTTGTCCATTACACTCGCTTTATTGGAAATTGTATGTTCCCACTCCTTTTTTGTCTACTTACATTTTTTTTTATGTTATAATAAAAAGTATTAAAAGACAAAAGAGAGTGTAAGTGAACAAAAGAAGAGTGGAAAAATCATCACCCATGAAAAAAGATAGAAACAACAAGAACAAGAGAAACATAGAAAGAGGAAAGAGAGAAGGAAAAAGGAGAGAACCGTACCCAAAAAAAAAGGAAAAAGGAGAGAAGAAAAGAGAGGAAAAGGAAGTGGAGAGAAAAAAAGAAGGAAAAAGGAAGAGAAAGATGACGGGAGAAACAGGAAGAAGAAGAGGAGATTAAAAAAGAGAGAGAGAGAGAGAGAGAGCAAAAGAGAGAGCAAAAGAGAAAAAGAGGAAGAAAGAGAGAAGTGACGGGAGAAAGAGGAAGAAGAAGAGGAGAGAAAAAAAGAGGATGGAAAATTGAAGAACACAGGTTGCTCTCATTTGAGGTCTCAAGTTCAGGTTTGACTCTCATGGTAAACCAAAGGTCTCAGGTTCGTACTCTTGTGGTATCAGTTGTGTGTGTGAGAAACCCTTTTCACTATAATTTGGACTATTAGTTGTATTCAACAAATTTTTTTTTTTTTAAAGTTTCAGTGAGTCTGACCATAATTGTTTCCTCTCAAAACAGCCTTGAAATTTTGATTCCATCTGCTTCGGTCGCATGGTAGTTCTTGATAGATTTTTTGTGAAAATTTAAACATGCATCAAGTAAAAACATTTCTAACAAAAGCGCTTATGAGCGAAATTGTTTCCTACGAAGCAATTCCAAACAGGTATTTGGTTTTTGATTCCATCCATTGAATTGCAACGTAGCATAATAGTTCTTGATTATGTTTCTGATACTCCTGAAGTTAAGGATGCTTTTTGAAGAACATCACCATTGAGTCGAAAAACACAGGAATTGCACCGTAGAAAAAATACCAATATCAGCCAATAAAGACCATGCACAAAAGGGAGGTAAGCCCTAGAAGACCTGATAAAAGCTGCATGAACCAGTCTTGATTTCCATGAACTAAACTCTCCATGTAAAGACCATATTACAGAATCCTATATGGTTCTTTGGAGGAGATAAAGCAAGTCCCACTTTTACCTGAGAGAAATTAAAACAATATTGCCAGTTTTCAACGTCCTCAGAGTTAGTCAGCAGATCTCAACTACATGTATGATTTTCTAATGGTTCTAAATTATCAGTACGATACCTTACTCAAAATGTTGTATACTGCAATACATACAAGATCAGCAGTTCCCAACTACTTCTACTTGGCACTCTTAACTTCCACAAAACATAGCTCAATAGGGCCTAACAAATCATTCAAACAATCACAACGCCGAGATGAACCTTTGAATCTTTGCCTGTGATCGCTCCATTTCTTCAGGTCCATCCACATCACCAATATTGTCGTGATATTCCTGTGGTCCACGAAGAAAGAAAGAGTACTGTATTAGGGTACTTACAAAATATTCAAATAATTAGCACAAGCTTAATCCACCAAGGGCTTAAAGTCATGCACCAAAAAGTGTAGATTTCACTTTATCATTTAGAATTATTTCTAAATATAGGTACTTATATTCAGCATATTTAAAGACCTGTTAAGAAATAAGATCTTAGTAATCTGGTTGTAAGAATCCAATTTAAGCTTTGTTCCACTTATATTAAAACGAAGCCTATCCTACATGCTGGCATTACCCTCTACAGTAGCAAAGGTCTAGGTATGAGATATTAAAGAGCAGGGAAGAAAATAAACCCATTTGAACTACGAAACCATGAGGTGCAACAAATTTGAATTCCCAATTGCAGCACAGTGAAGTTAATGTTGAAAAGGATTTATTTCCCCTTTTTCTATGTTTGGTAGACATTGAGAAATTATGAATAATTCCAAATCCAACATGTACATGCCCTTGTAAGAATCAAGCCCATCTTTGAAACATTGCTCACAAAAATACAACACATCATTGGGCCAGGTAAGCCAAATACAAAGAAACTTAACATTATAAGAACTAAACAGAAGACCAGGAGGAAAAAGTTGGACAAATGACCAAGTTTATTACACTTCTTCAAAATTTATTTAACATGAGGCTAAACAACCCAACAAGATTATGTGCAATTCCAAGAAAGAAGTAAACATAAGGAAAATGCACAGTAGCGCTCATGCATTTAAGCATAAGCAATTAAACTGAATTTGACCACCAACCACTTTCCCCCAATTTATTGTCAAATGTAGTTTACTAACGTTTCAGACTCTAGATCTTATATCTTTATTGATCAACCACAGCTGAAAGTTTCAGTGATGATCCTATCCATGTTGGAGCTTCTTATGGGATATCTAAAGCCGGCAAATTTCAAATTCTAGGCATGAGCAAATCAATTTATGAACGACTTTCAAACTATCAATTAGGTGTACTCAAAACACCCCTGATTCTGTTAAAATTCAATCTTTATACAAGGCTACTACCTGTTAATTGTTTCTCAAAACAAATTACTTTACAAGCATTCCAAGAGACCCCTATTATGCTCAAAATTTTAAAGAAAGCACCAAAAGCTTGCAGAAAATACTACTATCTAGGGCACCTACAATCAAATTTTAAAGTATTGTACCCTCTGATACTACACATCTGAGATACAGACGATTGAAAAAATAATTTTTTAACATGTCAATTAACTGAACTACAATTTCTACTATAAATTTTGAAGTTCTAGCAGACACCAAGCTTATGTACCTGAAGTATATCCTTAACATCCTTCTTAGTCAGTTTTTGCTGCTTGAGCAGTAGTTCAATTCTTGCTCTCATTTGAGGGTGCCTGCAAAAGAAATAACAGGCTCAAATATAATACAGCTCTTCTATGAAACTGTAAGCAAGAATATATAAATGTGATGTCGAAACTTACTCAGAACACCAAAGATGCCCCAGAATGACAGCAATCAACTGCAGCATGTGAATAAAGAGGTCAAGATCCAAAAGGATAATGAATTTTAAAATAATCAAGCTATAGTCTATCTGACAACTATTCATGTAATGGGTGAAGGTTGGAACTTGGAAACAATTATGGCCATGTTTAGCATGCAAGATATAGCTGACTGGATTAAAAAGGATTTAACTATTTTCATTTTGATGCATTGTAAGACATAAGCTCTACCTTAACTCTGTCTAAACGCATGGTGGAGTCAACAGTTTGATCAGATTGGACAGAAATGAATTAAGTTTGCATAATTATTCGCTAAAAAATATGACATTGACAGCAGCCTTAGTAGTAGTGGCAATAGTAGCAGTGATGATGATTATGTGGTTCCGTAATACTCATTAAAACCTTTGTGCCTCCTGGAGAACAGTTACTCTTTTATATGATTGCAAGGACTAACCAAAAAATTGGGGTACTAACACCAATAAACGCCACTTATTTTCCCTAATGCAAGACACTTGTTTATAATGCCTTTATATAAAAATTCTGTTCTATTTATTGATGGGAAAAGTGCAAAAATTTGACTACATGTTTCTAAGAAAAATAGATGTGATTGTAACTGTTTTAACATCTTAACAGTTACTAAATTTGAATCAAATTGCAAATAAAATTATTAGCTTCACCTCAAACAGATTCAATGAATCGAAATTGCTTAGTTTTTCAGCTCCAATATAATTAAAAACTCAGATATAATTGGATGAACCAAACTGTTTTACAACCTTTTTCACTGCTTGGAGTTTTATAACCTTTGTTGTTTATTCATGTTTCTCCTAATAGTTCTGTTTTACACCTTTACTGGATTTGTATCACCTGTTTAGAAAACATTTTATTCAATTCTTCTAATTCCTTGGGTTGAATGGGATAAACATTGGTAGCACTAATTCTATTCCATATCAAAACAAAAACGAAATTTGAATTAAATGATACGTTTTAACCCTTCTCCAAGCTACATGATCCACCTCAGTCCTGTATAACTTTATAGCAAACCCACATAGAAAGCACACTAAAAATTGCAATATTCCATCCAAAATAAAACCAAACCTGAAGAGTATAAAGTCCAGATTCCAACTTCCGGTTGTACTTTTCCTCTTCATCCATCTGCAAAGTGTAAAACCCCCCTCAGTGAAAGTAATGTAATTTCAAGGATCTGCAGACTACTTAGAACCAAAGAAGGAACTGACCTCCAAATCATCAAGTTCAAGCTGATCCATCCGTTCAGTTTCGGCTTTAACTCTATCTGAATATCTGAAATATAAATAAAAAGAAAAGTTAAAAATATATCATAAATTGAGAAGAAAAGCTTGCCTTCAAATGATATTGACTTCCATGCTTCTGGCATTTTCTCTTTTCATATGTTTCCATAGAAATAAAGAAACAAATAAGCAAAACCCACCTCATATAAAGTTCCATAAGCCGGTCTATCTTTTCACACTCATTTTCGACAAACTTGCTTAACAATCTCTCCCTTCTAGAACCCCTCAGAATTCCACCTGAGATGGGAATTTTGGGTAAGCTCAGTCGACAGTATCATTTTAATGAGTAAAAATCTGGGAGACAATCTAGTGAAATGATGTTTATGGATGAAACCCTTATAGAAACACATATTTCAGTAGCGTAATGCATTGTAAAATAAAAGATTCTTGTCGGCGTTCTAGTGCACTCAACCATGCCCATCAGAGCCTATGCGGAATTGAAAGCCTAAATAATGGGTTCAAAAAGAAAATAAATAACTAGGATGAAACCTTCAGGCAAGGATGGGCTTAAGCACAGATAACCACATTAAAAGAGCATACATGGTTGGGCCACTAATTTAGGCCAACATAGTATCAGTATGCCAGATACATCTTCTAGGGAACTCACGTTGTTCCATCACTCATTTACTAGAAGCAAGATATTTACTGCTGATTGTATTTTCGTTCACCAACTTAGCTATTCACTTATCGTTAGATTTTATCCTCAAAGTTTATCTGTGATATATGCTTAGTTAAAGACTTATGTTCAACTAAATCCTGTCCTCAACAACTTCCTATCCGGATTATGTTGGAGGTTCCAACAATTCCAGAATGGAAATTGTAAACAGGAAATGTTAAATAGAGTGAACTGTTCAAGAAGTTCAACATCAACGCTCAGATTCAGAAGTATCCAAAACTGAGTATCCAGAGTTGCACTTCACATAATGCACTACAATAACAAATTGATACTTAATTCAATAAAACATGAATCAATATATATGCACTATTTTTCTCAAAAGTTGCTTTTATACCCTTAAGGGGCAACAACTGTCCTAGATAACCAACAAGCTAATGCACTTACCAGTTATCGATGGTATTCTTGTTTCATTACTAATATGGGACCTAAAAAGTTTTATATGAGCAGCGAGCTAAACATAAAGATTGTACATCATCTTCTTTCCTTAACTATTGATAACAGGGGTCCAGAAGAAGTTAAAGGTAAGAAAAGAGGTACAAGAAATCACTCAAGTTGTAGAAAAATGCCAAAAAAACAGATTAGATAGAGTAACCAATAATCTTACAACTACAAAGGGTGAAAACAAAAAAATCGTAAGTACAAAACATTCACATAACCACTACAATTTCACTTGCCTGCTTACCAAATAACGATGCAATTAGGGACACAATGCGCTCCTCCAACTCCTCGTGATAACGCTCCTTCTTGTTCTTCTTATTAATGGGAATCTACACAAAATCAAATACAAAATATTACCCTCTTCTAATTAGACAAAATAAGTACTAAGTTAATCATTTTTATTTAATTGTAGCTCTTCCGCGTCATGAAATTCAATACCGGGCACAGTTTTACTTCTGTCTCTCTCTCTCTCTCTCTCTCTCTCTCTCTCTCTTATTCATCTATGGACACAGTGTAAATAAGTATACATGACATTTGCAAAATGAAAGTCAACTTCTTTCTTAAGTAAAATCAGAAGCCACATATAGTAGACAATATCCTTCTTCATCCCGAATAGCCATCAAAGTTCACAGTTATTAGAAGCATAACAAATGCTTCTTGGACACAGTCTCACTACAGAAAGACATTAGTAGGGTTTTGCTATGGATAGTCTCATGAAATAATAAATTACTTGGAAAAGAAAAAGGGAATGCAGCACTTGCCTTACCCATAAAAGCTGCAAAGGCCGTCTTCAACCCCAAAACATCAATGAAACGTTCGCAGGCTGGCGGGTACTTGGTCATGGCAAAGTCAAGCGCTCTAATGGCCGACCCATAAGCAGACTTCTTCTGCTTGATGATAATGATCATCAACTCCACCCCTTCAGCCTTCACAAACCTCTCCTTGTTCTCCAATGGCATCAACAAGCAGCACAAACAATCAAACAAATTCTCCAGCATCTCGGCTTCATCGGAGCTCTTGGGGTCCTTAGACTTGTACATAGCCACCGCCTGAAGCAACACATCGACACCGTTCATCTGCCCCAACTTCTTCTGATTCGCTACGCTGCTCTGCAACAGTATAGCCAATATTTCCGAAGCATATTGCTTGTTTCCATCGAACTCTCTCACCTTAATCTTCCCCATCAACCATTTGAAAAGCTTGGTCCTTTCGCACACCAATTCTGCCACCGCTGGCTTCACCTCGATCAAATTCTCGATCGTCGCGAGAGTCCCGTACACAGCGGCACTCTCGTCCGGGTCCGAATCGTTCAACCGCTGCAGATTCTGAACCAGCAGCTCGAGGACATTGTTGTCGACTAGGGCATCGACGAGAACCCCAACGGCCTCGTCGTTCTCATCGAAAACCTCGTCGTCGGTGAGTTCCTCGAGCAACTGAACCACGTCGATTGCAATGTCGGTGTTGTCGTGGCCGAGGAGGTTGAGAATGGAAGGGACGGTGTTGAGGGAGACGAGGTCCGGGTAGAGATCCGGAGCTCCGGCGAGGACCTTGAGCTTCTGGAGGTCTTCGTGGAGCTCGACTTCGGAGTCGGCGAAGCGGTCGGGTTGGTCCGGGTACTTGAGTCGGGCTCCGATATTGTCCTTGAGACGACGCTCGAAGGAGAGCACTAGCTTCTTTAGGGTTCGGAGGTCGGGCGCTTCGACGGCGTTTTGGGATTTCTCTACTGCCTCCAAGAGGGACAAGTCGATGTCGTTGTTACTGTTACTGTTGCCGTTCGGGACGACGTCGTCTCGTTTGCGTTTCGTGTTGGAGTTTCGACCGTCGACAACTTCCATCACGTTTCCGTCGGATTCGGCGGGTTTCTTCAAAAACCTACTGGGCGCTGCTCTGGTATACTCACTGAATCGGAGTCTTCGAAGTAAATATCCACTGCCTGTTGTGCTGTTTCTTCCTAATAAATAATTAAAAAAATATTAATTAATTAATTAAGTTTTAATCAAATCACCCCACTCACGTGAGATGCATATGTCTGTTTCAACATCTATTTAACAGATAATCCTTTATTGGCTAACATATGTATTAAAAAACACTAGCATTGAATTAAATTTTTGTTGTATTCTTCGTATTACTCACGGTTAAATTTGTTATTTTTTTGTCAAGAAACATTACGGTTAATTTTGTTATTTTTTTTGTCAAGAAACATTACGTTACTTGCTTGTTTAAAAAAAAGTTTATAATTTAAGTGATTAAGAGTATTTATCCTGCTACTCGAGATTTGAAGTTCAATTCTCACATCTTTGTGTATATATATATATACATATATATATTGTGTAGTGGGATTGAAATAAATATAAATAATTTTATGTGCTTGTAACTTTTTAGAATATGTTGCCTAGCTCAGATTGGGCCCATTATGTTGGAGTGTGTCGATGGTGGTGGATGGGTGTTTGCAAGACTGGTGTTTAGTACATCTGCTTAATAAAGATGTGGAAGACCTTCATCTTGGGTTTGTTCTATTAATCATGTATATCGTGAGGGCAATATGGTGGCTGATAGATTAGCTTAATTGGGTTCATGTCTTGACTTGGGTTTGTCAACCTTCCATAATCCTCCTGATAGTATTAGGTATTTTCTTAGTGAAGATTTACTTGGGGTCTGTAGGACTTGAGCCATTGTTTAGTTTCTCTGTTGGGCGTTAGCCCCGTTTCTTCACCAAAAAATAAAGGAACAAGGGGAGGGGGTGTAACTCTTCATATTTTTCTTTTGTTAATTTTTTGAAGTTCTATTTTTTGTTTTTGTAGCTTTTCATGTTTTTTTTTCTAATCTTTATTTTATGTTTTTTTTAAACTTATTTTTTTAATTTAATTCACACGTCCCTACATCACTAAATTTGTGAAAACCACATGTGTGCCACGTCAGCACATTAACATAATTTGTGAATTGTAAAGGTAACTTTGATGTGTGGGCAAAATGTGAAGAACAACATGCCTCTAGAAAACATAATATTTTCACAAACCTTAGAGACTACAAGTCCAAAATAAAAAGGTTTTAGTTTTCTAATGATCTTCATTATTTGAATCACCTACAAACTACAAGTTAAATCATTCCACAAACTACAAGTTGGATTGGTTCCTTCTAATGATCTTCATGTTAGGGAGTCCTTACTTAGTTAGGCTTTTTGGTTACTTATTATTTGTCTAGTCCTATTATAATTGAGATTTGTTTTCTATTGTAATTTAGATTTATTTTGTATTGGAATTTAGATTTATTTCCTATTTTATTTAGGGTTGTATTTCCTTATAAATGCCTCCATATTGGAGAAGAATACATAATTGAAAATTTGCCCTACTTTGTTTGACTTGGAATCAGGGCCAAGTACTTGTGACATGTGCTTGCGTTCTCCTTGCAATTTAAGTGCTCTCCTCCCCTCATCTTCAAAAAGAGGGAGGGGGGGGAGGTTGGGAGAGAGAGGAGTGAAAATGATATATTTCTCTTTCCCATGAAGATATTGCATATTCCTTGACTCTAATGACCCTTTCTCTTCAAGGGGAGGGGGGAGTGAAGAGAAGTTGTGTCTGCGTGAATTAGTTAAAGTAGATATGAAGGAATTCTCCTTCACTATGGTTGTTGTAGTTGCCATTGTCATAGTCGTTGCTGCTGTCGTTGATGTTGCCTTTGCTTCCTTCGCTTTCCATTGCTGTGGTCATCGTCATTGTTGTTGTTGTGGGCGTGCCCTTTGCTTTTTCTTTGCCTTACCTCGCTTTGCTTTACCTTACCTTTCTTTACCATGCCACCACCTCTTTGCACCGCGACAGCCCAACACGAGTATTCACTTACTCTTTCTGTTTTTCAATCCCTTATTTTATATCTTTGCACTTCATCATGTCTGCACATGGCTCCTTTAAAACTTCTCTCCCTACCTTTCTCACGTAATGGACTTTTGACTCATATGCAACTTTTTATTCTACCTCTCTTTATTTTAATCTTTGGCCATTCCCACGTGAGAAATGATTTTCTTCGTCTGTCATCTCACTTCTTGTCCCTTTTTTTTTCCTTCCAAATTTACATCCTTCTTATTTTATTTTTTGCATTTTCCCTAAAACAAAAACAAAAGAAATCTTTTTTCACTTTCACGCCAACGTGGCTTTCTTTTTCACTTTACTTTATGGCTCATTTTTTTCATCTCTCTTTCATCTTATATTCTCTTCTTCCAAATCTTGATCCTCTACAAGCCTCGGATTTGACGGGGAGATAGGGGAGATAGACACACAATGCTTGCCACCTAGGTTCTCTTGTCATATGACCTTAACCCTAAACACTACCTATTTCCACTGCACTATACACCTAACCCATAATCTTAGCCCACAGTCGTCATCTACCTTGCCACCGTCGTTGCCTACCTTGCTACTGTCGTCACTGCCCTCATTCCGTCATTCATCACCATGCCGAATGTTGATGCCTTTATTTCTTCACTTGCTTCTGGTCCTACTTCACTTATTGATTCTCCTACCCCTATTGTGATGGTTCATACTGAATCATCCACCAACTTACCCTTGGAATTCAAATTGAATGGATCCAACTATGCAATTTAGGCTTGGATGATCGAACTCTATGCTACTTCACAAGGAAAAATTGGGTCACCTAACTGGTGACTCTGATGCCCCATATTGCAAAGATCCACAATTTAGAAAGTGAAAATTGGTGATGCTACCGCGAAAAGTTGGATGATGCGCATTATGGAATCTAGTTTGTTGAATATGTTTCATACTTAACTACTGTCGTACTCACAGGGTTTCTATGTTCTGCCATGCTCATAAGGTTTTTGTGTTCTGTCGTGCTCACAAGATTTCTGTGTTCTACCTTACCTAGTGCCATGCTCATATGGTTTTTGTGTTTTGCTTTGTACATAGGGTTTATGTGTTATTCTTTTGTGTTATGCTATGTGCCCTATTTGTTAAGGGTTGCTCTTGTGTTTCTGCTGCAAGCTTTGATTTGGTTTATCAGTTGTTTCACTCATGGTTTACGACAAGACCTTCTCTGCAGTTGTGAACTTCTCTACAGTTGTTCGATTTGGGTAATGTTGAGTATGGTGTTCTATGACTCGTTTGTCAAGTTGGGCATGATAAACATCTTTGCGCCAACTTGAGGGGGAGTATTAGCAAGTCCTTACCTATCAGAAATGTCTAGAAAAAATCATAGCACTTCGGTTCTTTATTATGTTAGGATTTTTGGTTACTTACCTATTTGTCTAATCTTATTATAATTGAGATTTGTTTCGTATTGTAATTTAGATTTATATCCTATTTTATTTAGGATTGTACTTCCTTATAAATACCTCCATATTAGAGAAGAATACATAACTGAAAATTTGCCCTACTTTATTTGACTCTTCATTATTTGAATAAAAAAGGTTTTAGTTGTTATTAATTTTACCTTAGTAGAATGCGTGCATGGCCTTGCCCGAAGATGAAAATAACTCGAGGCGGCTGGTTCCTTCCTTGAACCAAAAAATATTATTACTTTATGCACAAAAAATATTCTCTTCAATTAAAGTTTTTATAAATTAATTAAAAACAACATAAAGAATAAAAAAAAATATTTTATTTTATTTTTTTGGTTTTTTAAAGATTAGGGTAACTTCTCTATAAATGTTGTTTTTTTTTAAAAAAATTTACTTAGAAATTAATAAGGAAGTAAAGAGTAAGCCACGGAAATGATTACTAGGAGGAGAGTTCTGGGGATATCAATGATGGTAATTACAACCATTCTACTTATCTTATCAATATCAATGGTTGTGGAAGCTGATGATAACAATTTTCATTTCTCTATGCGTCCCCCTGCAGTCACTTCCAACTCTTCTAGTGAAGACTCGAAAATTACATATATCCCTCCAACAATCATGAAAGTCGGCAGTAAAATCCTTCGTTTTGGATAAAGGAAAAAGGATGAGCTAGGTTCCAATTCCAACCAAAATATCAACCGATATTTCGACCGAAGAAGAAGAAGGATCGTCTTCTACAAATATTTATGGTTCTGGAAAAGGAGAAAACAGAAAAATGTCAAATGAATCAAATAATGTATGGATAACATATAGCTTCTACGTATCAAAGAGCACTTCCACGAATATGATGCTTGAGTGTATGGTTTCACATGCGTAAGGTAGGACTATTTTCCTTATTTAATGGCTATAAAAGCTATGAAGTTTCGTCATACCTACAGTCTCATGTATTTAATAATATCTATAATGCCGTGAAGAGAGGATTTGAGTTATCCGTTCAACTGCAACTTACTCAGCATGCACTCAATATGAGGAGATATACTAATGATAGAGATACTTCTTGTTTAATTGTAAGATTTCGAGGATTAATGAACGTAAGATTTTGGTCAGGTATCTTGTATGATCAATGCGTTATTGTTTTCTAGGAATTTGTTCTCTCATCTTTGATTCAACTTTCAAAATTTATGCGTTATTCTTTACACACATACACAGAAACAAACAATGCATAATAATTACACATCACATGCACGCAAACAAACAATGCATACCACTTACACACAATGGCAGACCGAGCGAATTGTCTATGTGGGGGCTTGGATAATGACTCTGGGCTTCAGAGGCTTGGGTTGAATATTTTTTTTGAGTGCGGGTAAGGACTGAGCCAAAATTTAAGGGTTCAAGTATATAATGAGCCATGTGGGAGTTAAAAACCTTGTAGAAACCAAAACATAGTTAAGATTATGGCAGCTGCTCACACTAGTCATTAGTTGGGTTAGCCAGTGCTTACACATCACTATAGAATTTCGCTACACATCACATGCACACAAATAAACAACA